TTGTATGTAGAGCTGTATGCTATTGATGCATATCTAGTCACATCATGTATCGTGACGTGCTGATCTGTCTCGACTTGTGGTGATCCTCATCGCGACAGCGCAACGTGCTCAATATATGTGGATTCAATTGTCTTATCTCTTGACATGGCTTTCTGATCGTGGATGAGACGTGATCAACCCATATCGAGGGCAGAGACGCTGAGACGTCTTCTCGACATGGCTCTTGTGATTTCATCAAGCGTAAAGAAGCAAGTGCCTTGCGAGGCGCGAGTCTCGAGACCCCTTGACTGAATATGGAGCCTCTTCGTGAGTCCTAACTAATCAGTCTTTGGGAAGAAGGCAAGAAGACGCAATTTTTCTGAGAGGCGCTCTTGCTGAGGTGATCCCAAGGCGTGCTGAAAAGCTTCGCATGGTTTCCGCACATGTGAAGTAGACAGGCAGCGTGTAAACCCTGTCCAACCGTCACACCAATGCTTCTGAAACCAAAATTGCCAAACCTCCCGCGCCCCGCCAGGCAGCTGGATGCTCAAAACTACGAGGCTGCTCGAACGATTGGAACCCTGGAAGGTTGACAAGCTTTTCGTTTGGTCTAGCCCAGGTTTCAGTCAAAAGAATGACCTCCACCTCTAATCCACAAGTTAGCTTTGAAAGGACATCCGCCTTCTCCTCACCCCATCCCTGACAATTCCAAAGGGAAAGTTTCAAACCTTGCTTCTCTCCACTATCCCTCCACCCCCCTTCCCCATCACGGCTCCCGCACCCCTAGCTTTGGTTAGGAACTGGAGCAGCTCCATCTGCGGCTCCGCGCTTCAGTCCCAAGTCATGGACTCTCACAACCGCGCCGTCGACAAAGAGCCTGCCCCCCACAATGCGTGCATGCTTCTTTTGAGCCCTGGCCTCGCGCATGAGCTTGACCATGCTGTAATGCTGAGCTTGCTGGACAGGCGTTCTGTCTTCGTCAACCCCAATCCTGCAGCCCTTAAGGTTTGGCTTCCGCATGAGGATCTGCCGCCGCGCTTGCTCAGACACGCAGCGCGCCAGCACCACCTGAGGCCGTCCATCTTCTCTATGCTTTCCAATCCTTGAAGCCGTTTGGATCAGATCTTTAGCATTTGGCATTTTCATCTTCTCCGACACGAGCTGGATTACTTGTTCAAGCACAGCAGGCCCCTCTTGATTTCCTTCAAGACCTGTGATGCGAAGCGTGCACCCACGTGACTTGCGCTCAACAGTTTCCCAAACTGTCTCTTCCACCACCGCGGAGACTGTCCTCCTGACCTCCTCTACCACCTTCGCATTTTGCAGGGGTTCAGCTGACTGATTGGGAAACACCTTATCCTGAACAACCTTTCCAAAGTTCTCCACAGTCTTTCCAAACTCGCCAGTCTGGCGGTCCAGCTTTGACAAATCAGTTCTTGCTTGAGCCAATTCGCTTTTCAGTCCCGCAATCTCCTCTGCCTGCGCATCAATCCTCTGTTTTTGATCATGTATCTTGGTTTCCAGCGTCTGCCTCATCTCTATCATGGCTGCGTGCAGTGATTCTAGTGTCATCGTCTCCTTGGAGGCCACTTCGGCATAGGTAGCCATGACGCGCTGAACAAAACCAAGCGCCCTACTTCCTACTTATATATACGTAGTGTCACCACTGATAGTAGCTTGGCACCAAGTTTCCACCCCGGACAGGTGTCGACCTTTCATTCGCCTTATCCTCAAAACGAATCTCGACTCAAACTCCCCGATGACTTCTCCATCAAGCAACCGGGCGGAGTTAGAGGCGGGGTTGCAAGCTACTTCAACAACGCTATGATTCATGATTTGCAGCTGCGCGCTGAGCTTTCAATGCCAGCGGCCACTTGGACTGAGTATCAAAGTTATGCCATACTACCAATTACAATTACAATTAATCTTTTAACGTCGGTTCGAAGCCGTGGTCGGCTTAGTCGACGATCAATCTACTCAAGCCTGCACTAAGCTTGATCTTATTGCAAAGCTTAAGTGCAGAAACTTCCCTACCATATACTTATCTTGCAAATTGAGGAACGAACTTAACTTCTGTTCTCCTCTATCCTCAAAGATGGAAGGGAAAGAACTCCTAACATTATTGTATGCTGGGCATTCAAATACGAAATGACTTTCGTCCTCTACCGCGCCTGTTGCACATATCGTACAAAACCTTTCGGTCCGCGGCTTCCTTTGCCAAGCTCCCGTTTCAATAGCCAACTTATGAGCCCCTACCCTAAAGCTGGCAAGCGTGGATAGAAACGGAGCATACTAGCGAAAGATTGAACTAATGATCGCCTTTGCCCGATGGCTCTATGTGGCTCAGGGCGTTAATAAACCGTAAGTTACCATCGCCTCTATGCCCCTATACTTCTGAATGCATGATATGCAACAGCACACTATGTACAATCAATCTGATCATTCAACTTGTCATGTGCAGATATCCACATTCTCTAACATCACGCGACTGCCCCACTGATAACGGTTGAAATCCTTGGCTACAATGATGTTACCAGCGACATACATATTTGCATGCGAGGCCTCCATGTAGATATTCAATCTACTCACATGAGGAATTATATTGCATGCACAATTGCTAAAGTGTTCGATAGGGGCCGATCCCTGTACCAAGTGTTCAACCAATGGCCAAGCCAGCGTGCACTCTAGAAAGGCTATCCTTGAGAGAGTTTCCGGTTGATTGCAACTGACACAAACGGGCAATTGCGATGTTGAAATCACAAGAAGAGATTGTCATAGAGTTGCAGCATAATTCGCTGCATGGCCTTAGACTAAGGCTTCAAGTGACTAGATCCTCACGTCTTTGTGTTAGCAGAACTAAGATGGTTCAATGAGATCACGGTCGGCTTGTGGCTTGCCAAGCGCGAACTTTCTCCAAGTACGATGCCCCCTCCGACCAGAAGTCGTCAAAGTCGAAATCCGTGGCCTTTGACAGCCACCCGAGACCCACGGCTCGCTTACGCGCTTGGTGTGCCTGGAAGCACAGGCACCGATCAAAGGGCTGCTTGTGGACCGGCAGAACCAGCGCCCGCCCCTCCAAGTCGCCAAACGTCATGCTTTGGAAGTCCGGCTCATTCCGGAAGACGTCGGAGTTGCGCGCCTTGATCCCCTCATCATCATGCTCCTGGAAGCGGTCAGCCAAAAGGCTTCTTGTGTGGTCAAGGACCTTGATTGACTTTAGGGAAGGATCCAGGATGTGAATCCTCAATCCGCCATCCTTCTGGATTATGGACGGTTGAGAGTTATCGTACGCGCTTTCTACCCCTTTGCACAACATAAGGCCGTTCCGGGGGTTATCTATGCTGTCAAGGTCGAGCTGGTGCTTTCTGTTCGCCCACAAGTGCTTAAAGAGGTGACTTGCGATCACATTTGAGGCTGGCATCGGCTCGCCGGTTGCAGCGCAGACAATCCTCTTGCGGAAGACCGTCTTCGTTTTTCCACTGCTCCGCTTTTTGATGATCTTGATTGCCACCTCAGATCCATAGAACTCAATGACTCGTTTCCGAAAGTCGGGGTCCCGCTTCTCGGTGGCTGCCCCTTCCGAGTACTCAAACGGATCACCGTACTCTGCGCTGAACTGAGCGCTCAGTTCCAGCGCCTTCAGGGCTGCAAGAACAAAACTCCAATGATTTGAAGGGGCCTCAACCTTCTGTATTCAGAAGACTATGTTTGCTCGTTCTTTCCGCTGCTTCTCTGATAATCATCCAATAACAAGAATGTGTTTGTTCGTTCTTTCCGCTGCTTTTCTGAATATTATCCATGAACATGACTGACACTGGTCTTCTAGACCGATAAGAACAATGACACGTTTCCTGTGGACTTGTAAAACAAAACCCAAACAGCTCTGCAGCACCCCTGAGCAACGTAAGATGCCTATCCGTTACACATTGCACAAACCATACCTTGGGCATGAGCCTTCTGACTTTTCAAGATGCGCCGCATCTTCTTGTCAAGCGAGTTGACAGTTCCCGACAGCGTGTTGACACTGTTTGAAAGCAAACCAATCTGCTCCAGGACTTTGTCCATGACATTCTGCAAATTCAAAGAGACTCAATTCAGCGCCTGCATGATAAAGTGGAAGTGATGAAGGCACTTCCTATCCTTCAACAGAAGCATTTGAGCATTGACAACCCTCTCCGCCCGGATCAAAAACTAGAATTGGTCGCAAGGACCTCACGTTGTGCCAAGCAGACCTTGAGTAGGGAACGTGACATAGCAACTGATTCTATTCCTGGAGGCCTTCCTCCAGGGAAGCAACCTGCAGATCTATACTCCCACAGACCGCAATATGCCAAGTACTGCATCTAGGTGTCCAGCACCAGCATCGGCTATCTTTACCACCAAAGAGGCACCAACCTGTACGTCAGGCACTAGCCAAACTTATGCATGACAAAAGGAATGCTTGGTGCAAACTCAGAACGAATTGATAACAATAAGCACAATTTGCAAATGTTCCGCTTGCCTTTGACTCATCAGTGTCATGTGGTCCCCCACCCACACGTTCGGTCTCCTCGCCAGCTTGCCCACGGGGTCTTTTTCTTTTTCCCCCCGACTGCACCTCCGCCATAACTACGCTTTCTGCTGAAAAGATGCCACTCTACCTCAACACCCTGGCAAAGCAGACCCGCGCCTTCAGATCAAGTTCCTGCGCATTCCCATAGATTTGCTTTTCTCACTGCCAAGTTGAAGTCCCTCTGCATGCATCACACTTCACGCGACTGCTACTCCAGAGTCCAAAACTTAAAAGCCTGAAGCCCAGTGAAGGCAGGGAGAACCAAGGAGAACGGAGAGGCGAGGAAGTGAGAATAGGCAGATAAGAAGGCAGACAGAGACTTGGAGATCTCCTCTTCGAAGAGGAGAGGAGGAGGGCAAAATGGCCAGAATTAGCATTCTTATAAATTCCTCAACACCAAACCAGGAGCATATTCAACATTTCGGTATTTTTCTAGCAATTCAAAACTGGCCAGGTAATATTCTGGTACCGTATTCTTTCGGCAAAAAATTAAATAATTATTGCCGAATTCCGCTGGAAAATATTTTGGAGCGATAATGGTCGATAATGGTATTTTTTAGCAGGTAACACTAGGTCCTCCGAAAGCATAGGAAGTTTCATATTTAACATTTCGGCGTCGAAGGTGCCAAAATCAAATAGCATATACCTACTTCTACCAGGAAGGATACTGTAGACGTACAGACGAAGTGTGATTGTAGAACTCATATTCTGATAAAGTGACACATATAGGCAGACACTGGAGATACCAGCAATCAAATTGGAAGCCTCTCTGCCCGGCCGTAATCTATAGATGTATCACCACCTGCACAAAAATTAGGCGCTTTCCGTAAGCATGTCCTGCGTGCACAATTTCAGGGCTGCCCAGCCCACCTCTTATGAACGAGCCGGTCACTGCTGGGGAAGAAGGAAGTTTTGGAACCTTGATGGCCTAAGTGATGGCCGCAAGTGTGCCGCAGTGTCGAGGCTTGCCCTTGGTAATGGTGCCAAGGAGTTTGACACAAGACAGCGGTGCAACACTGCAACCTTGAAGAGAATGTTGGGTGGTACGGAAGGATTCCTGGTCAAGTCCACAACCAGCCAAAGGAAACACCAAAGACTTGTCTGCGCCCGTGCATCTTCTCTACGATCAGAAGAGCCTTCTGATGATGGCGACTACGCTCTTCCGCCGCTCGACTTTGAGGATCTTATGGGGGGTGCCGCCCGACACGCACAGGCCCAAAAGGCGAAGCAGGAGAAGAACGACGCTGCGCTCTTGGAGAATTGGGACGACTCGCCGCTGGCGAAAGAGAGCACGTATAACATGCTCGGCGCGAGGGGGGGACAAAGCATGGCTCGGGAGTTTCAAGGGGAATGGAAGTCTGTCGACCCGGCATCGTTCCTTGCGAAACTGGGTATGCAGTCCCCGGCAGAGGGCAAGCAGCTAGATGAGCGACTGTCAGCAGGAGATGACCTTGCGGACTGGAGCGAGCCAATCAGGGAGCGCCAGGTGGCGCCCAGGGAAGGGGCTGGGCAGAAGCCGGGGCAAGGAACGGGAGTGAAGAAGCGGTCTCCAGACGGGGGAGAGAGGGGAACGGGGTTTTCGGGGAGGGTTAGCGACAAACCGGAGAGGGGTGACGATCAGGGCCGCCGAGGAGGAGTTGCGTCAGTGAGTGGAAGGGGGGAAGGGGCATTGAGATTGCCACAGAAACTGGGTGGAAGCGGGGTGCGGGGAACTAGGAAGGTGTCAAATACGTGGCAGGAATTGCAGGCCCGGCCTTCTCAGGGGGCGTTCGCGAATGGTATAGCTGGGGGGGGAAATGCTGCGAACACGAAGATAGAGTCCGAGCTTTCTCCCCAGGAAAGAGACGCACCAAGTGGTGCAATGGGAGGAGGGGAAAAGCAAGTGAGCAGTGAAGCAGGGAGAGCACCCCCGGAAAAGAATGCGCCCAGTTTTGACCAGTGGGACCTGGGACTGCCGGACTATGACCTCGTCAAAGAGTACATGAAAGAGGCGCCTCCAGGTCCCCAGGGGGGTCCTCAGAAGTCGGAGATCCTTACCCCCCCTGTGATGCCGTCAGAGTTCAGTCAAGAGCCCAGCCCTAGTTATGGCGCGGCGTTTACGAATGAGGAGGGGGAGGAAACCGGGGAGAGGGGTTTGGGTGAGCTTGCAATGTCTCAAGAGGAGTTAGCAGCAAAGGCGCGGGCGATTGAAGGGCGGTTAAGAAACGGGTTTGGAGGGGGTATGAATGGGCAATCGGGCGTCGGGTCCCCCGGAAACGCAAACAGGGGGCCAGCTCGAGAGGGTAAAGTACCAGGTGGATTGGATGATATTGCGAGAGGGGGATCCCCCAACAGTAGCGTAGCGGAGGATGTTGAGATTGGGAAAGCAACCGACGTCGACGACGATAGCCTATTGGCGCAGTTTGATCAGATGATGGCGAGCAAGCAGAACTGGATGCCAGACGACGTTCGAGATTCTGATCTGGGGGGCTCTGAGGATGTGCTTCCGAAACGGGGGGGTAAAAGCGGGGCCGTGGGAAAGGGGGGGAAGAAGCAACGGGGGCATTCACGAGAGGACTTCGATGATGACGAGGACTTCGAAACGGAGGAGGCGCTTCGGCGAACGGAGGAGCTTTTGAGGGGGAAGAGTGATGCGGGGCTGATGCCGGAAGCGAGAGCGAGACTGGAAGAGGAGAGGCGGCTGGATTCGATGGTGGGAGATGAGGACGAGGAAAGTGATGAGGATGAGGAGATTGAGGAGCAGTTTATCCAGGTGAGGTGCTGAGTGGTTTGCAGAGATGCTTGTGTTTTATCCTGTTGGAGTGACCTACCTCGTGGGATTATCTACATCAGAGGCACACGTCCAGCGCATATACTACTTCGAGGTCAATGTATGTAATAAGTTCAGGGACGGCAACTTGTATAACTTGAGCAGGAAGTGATTCTTCCTTGAACCTGCATTTTCCAACTTGTAGAGCTTCAAGAAGTTTGCTTCAGAAGTATACGTAATTCGCTTCGGAAATGCTTTCTGACGAAAGGGCGTTCGTTACAAAGCTTGTTTCTAACGGGCTCATCATGTGTTCATTACTTCGGGAGTCTAGTCACGTATTCCCGATGCTGGGAGTAGTTAAGGAAAGTTGTTCAAGCAATGAAGAACGTGTCTCGTTGTTTGACCAGAGTTGTTGCGTCGATCCTATACCACTATTTACGACTTGCAAAAGGCTCCCTCTGAAAAGTTCGTTGAACGTGGGTTTCATCGTCAGGAATCCAGGCGCCGGTCTCTGAAGGAGGTTCAGAGTTGCTCTTCCAGTTCATTTGGTCATCAGGTCATTCGGGGTTTGAGACCCCTGCTTCGAAACACTCGTCGCCAGAAGAAAAAGGCATGAAACTTACCCATTCCCTTTTTGCGCAGGATCCTGATTGGCAGGACGGCTGGGGTGACGACATGTACATGGACCTCGACGAAGAGATGAAAAAGGCCAAGGCGGAGCGCGCCGCCAAAAAGGCCAAGCAAGGCACGCGCGACATCATCGACCTGACACGTGGCAACGAGCCATTGGCCGGGAAGCTGAACCGCGACGGCAGCCTGTCGATCGAGGGAAGCCAAAAGGGTCAGGGCGCCGGCAGGGCAGTCAGGGGGATCGAAAGTCTCTCTAGCGGTTCGGGAAGGAAAAGTCGGAAACCGGTGGATGTCGAAAAGGAGAAGCGGGACTCGGAAGAGTTTATTGCGACGTTGCAACGAAGAGCGGAAGAGAGGAAAACGGGGGGGAGGAAGAAGAGAGCGATTCCGGATACGGGCAGTCTGTGGGAGACCCCCGAAATGGTGGCGGAGCGGAGGAAGGATATGGCGCTCGACTCGCTGGAAGAGGAACTAGAGGAGGAAGAAATCATGCTGGAGCAACGGGCCGAGAGAGTGGCGAAAGAGTTCAGCCTGATCGATAGTGTGGTTAAGGGAGAGTTTGAAGACGAAGAGTTGGAGCTCGAGGCTCTGTTGGCGGATGATGCATTGTTGGAGATGAGTGATGACGTCAGTGGCGCACACGTTGAAGGTTCTGACCGTGAAGTGGTTGGAAGAAGTGCGAAGCATGAAGAGGAAAGAGAAAGGGAAGAAGAGGAGAGGAGAAAAGAAGAAGAGAGGAAGAGATTGGAGGAAAGGAGGCGTGCGGAAGAAAGTTTGAGCATTGGGGGCTTCTGGGCAGATCTGGACGACGAACCAATTCCAAGTACTGCTCGGACTGTCGGCAACGCAAAGGTTGAACGAAAAGCGCCTTCCTCAAAGGAGAGCGATGCTCAGAGAAGTCACGTTGAAAAGCGAGAGGCCGTTGAACTCACTTCCGGGATTGCTGGGTCTGCAGTGGCCTCGGAAAAACGACAAATCCCAGGAGTGCCCTCAGAAACCGGCAACACTTCCGGAGGGCAAAACGAAAAAGGAAGGGGCGCGGAACGTGAGGCCGGAAACGGACCTGAGAGCAGTTCCCAACAGTTGGACCAGCTTCCAGGGTCAAGCGACGGGGCAATGGTTGCAAAGGAACCGGTAACTAGAGATGGCGGGTTTGGGGAGACGGTGGAGGCGCCGGAGAAGCAGACGCTGCTGGAACAGCTACGGCCGCAGCGGCTGAGACGGAGAGAGGAGCCGAAAGAAGAGACGGTAGAGTCGGTGAGTGGGCCAGCTTTTAGATTTCATTGGGGCGGCCTTTTTCAGCTGTTGCTAAATTTCAGCTCCAGAGTTTGTGATTTGTTTTCACGCGCTTAGCGAGCTGGCATCTGAGAAGGAAGCGAACCGGAAAAGGAGACTGTGAATGTTGCATTCGCAACTCGGGTCTGCTTAGCAGACAAGTAGACGATCTGCCACCATTGCAGCGGGTTTGCGTTGCACACTCGCATCGAAAGTGAGTCCGCCCTTCTTCTCTTCAAGCTCATGCTTTGCCGTCAACCCCCGCTTTTACCCTGGCAGGTTATCAAGGGTTATCCCGAGCTGGAGTTTACGGAGGAGGTCGACCCCGAGACGGGGGTGGTCCGTCAGGTGATCCGCCACGTGGGCTTACCCCCCGGCGAGATTGCAGCGGAGGAGCGGCGCGAAGCGGAGCGCTTGGCGCAGTCGCTCAATATCGAGGTACGTTTACAGGTTTGGTTTGGCTCCGAGTATAGCCACTGTGAGTAATTTGAGACCACTAGGTTTGCTGCTAACAGAGTGTCGAGCACAGAGCATGTCTGACGTCGTTTCTCCATTCGAGCTGAGTGCGTCGTACGATTCCAATACCTTTTGCATCATCAGGAAAGGTTTCAATAGCTTCTCGTATGTTGCGGACGAAACGAGCCCCCAAAGCGCAATTGCTCCATTGTCGAAAATTTTCGACAGCGTGGGGTGTAGGTGGGTGTCGGTTTGGAGAGCAGATATTACTGCGCTTTCACAGAAGTAGGAGTTCTGTAGCTCAGGGGTTTTGGCTGAGACCGAGAAGGTAAGGCGCCCATTGTCGAGGTCAGAGCGGCGGCTTGAATCCTCGCCAAGAGATTGTCTGGCCGATCGTTCGCAAAGGCGGGTCCGGTGAAGCGTCTTTCTGTACTTGGGAAGAGTGTGCTGGTGAAGCGGACTGTGGAGTTGGGGAAGAGAGGCGAGAGCTGCCTGTACAAAATTGCGGGAGACCCCGCTAAAAGAAAACCCGTTACCGTGCGAAACTGGCCACTGCAAGAATCTCGGAAGACTTTCTGTGTGTGCAGACGGACACGGTTGCTCGGGCGATGATCTGTTCGAGCAAGAGCCACTGCTACAGAGTTCTCGCTTTTGCCGGAACTTGGTGCTCTCCGTAAAACCCGGTAGACTTCCATCTACTCGCAGATGGGCGAGGCCGCGCAGGCAATGACCTACCAGAGAGGGAGGAACTGCTACAGAATACTCGTTCGACAGTTATCTGGCCCACTCCACGAAACCCGGTAGAGTTGCTTCCCTGCAGACGGACGAGGCAGCTCAGGCGAACATGCTGGTGGACCGAATGCTGGTTGCGGGGGAACGAGTGGAGGAAATGATCACGCAACTAGGGCGCGAGAAAAGGCTGGACACGCAGATCCTGCGGGCGATCGACCGGAAGATGGGCATCGCGCGAAAGAACGTGAGTGGGATTGAGTTTCTGGAGGGTTTGGTTAGGTACTGGATTTGGATGACGCTGCTTCCGGAGTGGTCTGAATTGCGGATGGTATATCTTGACAGGAGGAAACGCTAAGAGCGCTAAAGCCACTGATCGAAGCAGATTCCAGATAGTTTCCGAAGTCTTTTGTTCGAACACAGCACTTTCACCTGCGGTATTGAGCGACTTACGACCTGCCATTCTGACTATTCCAACCATTCTAACCATTCTAACCGTTCGCGAATCGCTTGCAAACTTCAGGTTGTGATGCCGCCAATGCTTCATCACAACCTTCTTGTCTTACGTTCTGAAAGATTGTCCAAGAGCCGAAGCGTTGAGCGTGATCGGTACATGCACGTAGTCCGAGGCGGCCTTTCGTCGACCGCAGCCTCGGTACTTCCACGTCCGGCCCTCGTCATCATTTTGTCGCGTTTCTGACGTCACTCGTTGGTTGTCTTTGCAGAAGGCGGACAAGGCGATTGAAACCCTCGACATCCTGTATAAGTATATCGAGGTGAGGCCGGCCCTTTGACATACATGCTGACGTCATCTCCGTGCTCCTTCCGTTTTTCGTTGGATCCGCGAACAGTATTTCCTTCTGTTGTTATTTTTCGGCCTACGTTCTTTTCTTCCTGCCAGGATCACTGCCCTGTAAGCTCGTAGGTGTTTCTAAGTTTCTGATCCCATTTTCTTTGACGTTCTTGAAGTCTGCGCTGCTTCGCCTCTCACTTTCTTTTCGCTTGCCGTATAACCCGAGTCTTACCCTAAGTCACCCCTCGCTTGAGTCATACCCTCGCCTGCTATCCGTCCAATTCTAGCCTACAAAAACCCTGTCTTCTCGTCGCTTTCCGGTTCTGCTCCTGATTGACGTCTCGCTCTGCCCTCACTGACGTCACTGTCCATCGCTCCAGGCCGAGATGGAGCACTAGACTGCGCTGCGCCTGCCAAACGGTTTAGCATCATTGTGTCTGTTCGTTCCAATGTGTTGACAGTCCAACTCGTGACTGACCACCTTCTCTGCTCTCGTTGACGTCACCCTTGCTTAGCCGACGTCACTCTCATTTTCTCCAACCAAGATGGAGCATCAGAACGCAACCTCCGCGCAGCGGCTGCTGGACGAAGTAGCTGGCAGTTCTCCGGCCCTTTCATGATCATACCCGTTGCAACACACTCGTCTTGCTGACGTCAATTTCGCGTCGCTGATGACATCGCTGACGTCACGCAGGCCGAGATGGAGCGGCAGAACGCAACCTCCGCGCTGCGCCTGCTAAACGAAGTAGCCGGCAGTTCTCCGCTTCATCCAACCCCTCTTTCATTGCATTACTTTCGACACACTCCCCTGGCTCAAGTCTCTCTTCGTGGTTGCTGACGTCACTCTTCCATCGCTGACGTCACACAGGCCGAGATGGAGCGGCAGAACGGGTCCCCCGCGCTGCGCCTGCTGGGTGAAGTAGCTGGCAGTTCTCCGCCCCTTCTATCACCATACCCCTTGCAGCACACTCGTCTTGCTGAAGTCACTCTCACATCACCATTGCTGACGTCACGCAGGCCGAGATGGAGCGCCAGAACGCGTCCCCCGCGCTGCGCCTGCTGGACGAGTTGCTGCAGCTGGACGACGGCGCGCTGGACGAGGCCACGTGGCTGCGCCTCTGCCGCGACCGCATGCGCGCGGAGTTCGTGCCAGAGAGCGCCATCGACATCTTCAACCCGCCGGGGGTGCCCAAGCCGCGCGTGAGTCGCGAGTCGGAAACGGCTCGTCTGTTTGGAGACCCGGAATTATGGGAAGCTTCGAGAATCCTTCGAAGCAAAAAACCCGTGTCCTTATTTGTTAACTCGAGAGGAGCAGAGCAAAATTAGACTGCAAGGGCGCCCAGATCAATCGACATCTTCAACCCTCCGGGGGTGCCCAAGCCCCGCGTGAGTCGCAAGTCGGAGAAGTCTTGTCTGTTCTGGGACGTGCGAAACATCCCTTTATGGGAGGTTTGGGGATCTTTCAGGGGCTTGGACAGTGGCGTTTCCGTTTCTTGCCTTGCGAGAGGCATCGACGATTCAAGCGGTACACGCGCCCACAATATGAAACGTATAGGCCTTTGGTTCAGCAAAGTGAGAATCAGATGAAGGTTTTGTTTTGCGGTGGTGACATTGCGTCCTAAGTGTGTTGGAAGGAACATTGTCCGGCTGCTTCAAGGGTCATTGCGCGCTGAATTAGCTTGCACGCCTTCACGCTTTCTTTTAGCCTTCGTTCCAACACTCCGTTGGCAGCCGAAGACTGCTCTGGCAACCACGTGGAAAGGGCGTCTGATATTTTCGAATCTCCAATCCTTGTACGCTTACCCGTCGCAGTCCTCAAAAACAGCTCTTTGTGCGCAGTCATAGCTTCACCTCCTGATTCCTGCTTTTCAGACACCCTCCCCTCATTCACACCGCCCTGGTCTGCAGGCGGACGGCACGTGGGAATACCCCGAGGACGACGAGGGCATCCTGCGCATCGACTTCGTGCGCGAGATCGACGACCTCCTCGAGGACCTCGCGCAGCAGGAGCGCGAGTTTGCGCGGGCCTCCGGATACACTGCCGAAGCCATCGCTGCGCGGCTCGTGATCGAGCAGCGGATGCGCACCGCGGCGCAGCTCCGCAAGCTCAAGCGGAACGCGGCCATGATCGAGGTGTGAGAGTTTATGCTGCTATTGATCTCCGCTTTGATTCGCAGTAGTTTCATAAAGTGCGACTATGAGGTGCGACTATGACGGTTTCAAGAGCCTTTTCTGGGTAGCTTGCAGTGTTCTTCCAGAAACACTAGCTAAAGGCTAAAGTGTACTGGCATGCATGGGCCCAACATCTCGGACCATATTGCGAGCAGTTGTGGATTCTAAGTGGCATGCTCAGACGATCAATCAACGGAGTTAACGGTCGGAATTACGTACTTGGACATATGCGGAGTTCGGCGGCGGATCCCAGTCGGTTTAATGAGTATATATCTGCTGTAGATTGAAGCCGACTGTCAAATTCACGTTGATATTTAAACTGCAAAGCGCCTGCAATCGCCGCATGTGCATAACGTGTGGAAGCTAAAAGTGCATGTGCACGACTCAAAACCACGCTTGTTCGTACATTGTGGTGTATCAATTGGAACGCCCGGTGGTCGATTAACCTTGCAATGCCCTTTGCACCGCTCTGACCTACACCTATACTTATACGTACATCGTACTTGACATTGGTCCGATATCTAAGCTATTTCATGCAGCACTTGTATACGTTCCAAACAAGAGAACAGCCATAACGGCGCGATATATCCCCACATGCACCCAACCAGATTGATTCCTCTTTCCACGTGGCCTCATGACCGGTGCCGGGGTCGGACTTGGTGCACAAATCCCAACAGCTGCGGAACTATAGCAAATCTGATTAAGATCGACCATGCGTAGCCTTCATGAAATGCTTGGCAGCTAGTTGAAATGCGAACCAATGAAGTCGGTGGAAACCTTTCCGCTCGATCCCCAAGCAGCATATTTTATTAGTATAGATGCAAGGCGTTCAATGGTCGCCAGATCTCTAATGAAGTACGTATTCTGTTCTGTTTAAAAATCCGACGACTCCGAGGCACCACATGAGAGGGTCATCCGATGTGTCAGACGGCAAGTTCTTATATGCTTTGAAGAGCATGACGTCAACGATGCTAGGATCATGCAGTCGGTAAGGTAATTGTACTAAGGAATGAGTGACGCTGTAGCTTCCTTCTTGCACCCAGCTCCTTGTACCCTGGTGCTCATTTGTCCGGCCAGCTTTATGCATGTGTCGCAATCTGGTGACTAAGATCAAACAGAAGTACGTAGGAGCCGACATGAGACTAGAAGCAAAGAATCGAAATTGGTCTTAGAGACCATTCCGGATAACGGCCTTCATTTTGGGCCAAGGAACAGCACGACAATTTTACGCGTCATTCAACGCCCTATGTTCCTTAGTATGTCCACGATTCGGACCTCCTCGTCCTTTGTCCACCTATTGCAAGTTTTGAGCGTCACCGCGCCTTCAAACTTGCAGACCTTTCCTGGCAGAGCCTGCGGGTTCCGGGAGACAGAGGAATCACGGCACCATCCTCATCGTTCGTTCGGTAGCCTACTCTATGTAAAGCCCATATAGACATGCATTTTCTATATATATGGATCCAATATGGAAAGCCTGTACTTTGATTTGTGTCAACGAGTTTCCGTATGGATTTGTATAGGTCCAATTAGAAAATGATGATGAATGACTGGCCTTCTGTTTCCCACAATCATTTGACAGCAGCAAAATTCTGCCAGGACCTGATATGCACCTTCTCTTATGAGTCAGCATAAGAACCTGCAATTGCAATTACTATTCTGCAAGCTCTCTAGCTAGAAGCGCTAGTTCCCCCGTCTGCGAAGTCAAAAAAGAGGCCTTGCTGGAGTGTGGTAGACCTGCAATGAGCATGGAATCAGATTATTGATAAACCTTGTAGAACAGGATTATGTTCCAACCTTCAATGTTCAAAGCAGCAGAACAGAAGAATTATAGACTGGACCGTGTCTTGCAAGGCCAACTTCGAAAATGCTCAAGGTGTTTGCTCGTGACTATGCTACTTGCAAAAGACTTCTTTGTCCAGTTGGGACATCTAGAGACCCTCCATCAATCTTACTTTGATGAAAAGAATGCTGTAAGCTCTGCTTGACCAATGATGAAAGGAATAAAAACCAGGCTGGCTGTTGATGGATTGAAAGATAGACGTCAACTGCAGAGGTAGCCTCATCGACATACTCAGCTGATCAGTCAACAGATGACAGAATCATGACATTCAGCAATTGCTAGTGAAACAAGCAGTAGAAGCTGCATCGAAATTACTGCTCCTGCTTGGACCATATTTCACAGGCGCAGGTTCCCTGGATGTGCTGATTAGCGATGTGCTGCCCTGCAATGTGCCAAACCGCATCTCTGAAGCACTGAGAGTACCTTACCTTGCTGAAATGGATGTCAAGACGGACCTAGTTCTTATAATGGACCTTGCTCTAAGTAAGTGCTAATCTACTAGCACCACAGAAAGCACAACAATCGATATAGGCAAGTAAGATGGTCTCTCTGAGGGGTATGTCAACCACCAGCCATGCTTAATGTGTCAGCACCCTCTGTAACATCCACGAGACCATCCTCTACATGTATGTTCACAAAGACTGTGCTTCCCGGGTTTTGAAAGAGAGTCCCAAACAAAAACTAACAAAGTGCGGTAAACGTGTTCCCAAAGCACATTCAGTCCTGGTTGCCCGGTTGATAATGAAAAAATGCTTTTCACCGACTGGGAAACATCACAAGGTGTTGTCAGATGATGTTACAAGAAGCCTGCCCTGGCTAAGCAAACCCGCTCAAGCATCCTAGTCCTATTATTGTGCCATTTTACTCATTTCCAAGCCTTCTCTCTCGGTGCAGAGTCACTCCAGTCAGGGTAGCCTTCTTCAAATGTAACCATCAGATGGGGAAGGGTCTCATCCAAAGGGTACAGCTTGATATCCACACGCCGCTCTTCGTATGTGTAGAATACTCGAGCCTCGTCATATGCGTCCTTGACTTTCTTCTGCAGAGTCGGAAAGTGCTGCAAGAACTCTGGAACCCCCAGCGCAATCCAACTGTTGTACTTGTGTCTGCTGATCCGCTGCCCCGACTTTGCTGTGTACTGAAGCCCGTTGTTTGCCAACTTGAGACACTGCCAGGTTGCATCATAATCCTCTATTCTGGCAACAGTGGCTCTGTAAGGGATGGATAGGTGCTCATATCTGAAGTACCTTTTGGAGCTGACTTTGAGCACATCATCTAGGGTGATTATTTTCCCCGGGCCATGTGTTGGTGTTGAAGAACGCCCCGATCACCCCATCTAGAGTTTCAAAAAGCTCAAGCCGAGCAAGTCTATCTTCAAGATGCAACAAGTCAACCTCACCCCCGTGCTCTCTTTCGTCCTTGATCTGTGCTCTTAGCGCATCACGAGTAAAGCTGTCCATCTGACTGGCTTCTTGTATAAGGAAGAAAAGAAAGCCCGTTCAAAGATAACCCTCAAAACGCTCTCTGGTTTTTGTGGACAGAAACTCCTTTGAGGACGCCTCTCTGCTTGCGCCTCTTCCGGCCAGCGCCTCTTTTGACAACCCTTTTCTCTAGAATTGCTCAAGAGCCGCCTGCCTGGCTATGGTCCATCACTCTCCGACGGGAGCCCTAGCAGGTGGTCCGCAGGATCTACCAACACACTAAAATGATATCGCTGCCGTCGATAATATTTTCACGAAACAGTTGGAATCGGACGGCTGCATCGTCAACTTTAAGCTGGAGTTTAAGACGCATTTACACCGCTCCTAATGCTGGAAAGGACGATCATGCAGAGGAGCAGAGCTGCAGAGGTTGCCACAAGTTTCATGGCTTCAGCTAAGCTCCTGCAGCCGCACAAAAGGCAGCATCCGCCATTAAATTCAAGTAGGGAGCTGCAACCCAAGTCTGATTACGTGGTGAGTCTCTGAGGTGTAGGTTCTGAGGCTTCAAAGTACCTGAAGACAAAACTGCAATGAAGGCCAGTGGGCATTCTCAACCGAGGACGAGGTGCACGAGCTTCGTTAGCGCTGTGCTGCTGTGGAGGAGTCACTTGGGTTTGGAGTTGGCAATGCAGCTTTATTATGGTCAAACAATAGTGCCACAGGAGGCAGCAATGCAACAAGGCTGGCAAAGGCCAGGCTTGAATCCATAGGCCAGGTGAGATGCTCTACCTTGAGCCTGAGCATGATCATCAAAAAGACTAAAAAGGATGATTCAGCATGTTGTTAATCCGCAACGGATAGAAAATGCAGTCTTGCGGCTGTGCTACTGCTTGTAAGTGGGAACCATATATAATGAACCAAACAGATGAAGCAATTCAGTTGCCACTTTGATTAATCAGATGAGTGCACAGCATGGGTGCAGCACTAAACACAGGTCGCGTTTGTTCTGACAGACAATGATGTTGACTCAAAGAACACTGAGTTGTTAGAGTGAGAAAAGGTCAAATCTACTGTTTCTAGTCAGGAGCCCTGCTCGATCAATGTGCCTTTTCTTTTATTGCATTGCACATTACATTTACAGAAAAGATAACTCTAGGTTCTCCTGATCTTCATCGCTCTCTTCTAGATCAGGTTCTCCTGCAATCTCCTGTCTCGCGCCATGGTCAAAATCTGATTCTTCTATCTCATCTTCCTCAGTGAATCGAAGCGCCTCTTGTTCAATTTCTCCTACACTTTCATCTTCCTTGTCTTCGTCATAATACCACTCGTCAACATCATCATCAGTTGATTGTCCGAAGTCAATATCAGGATTGTTATCAACGTCTAATTCGCTTGCCAGCAGCCCAATCTCAACTACCCCTGATGCTGCGATCGCTCCGTCTTTGTAACGATTACGACTGGTTAAGCCTAACCTCGTTCTCGACAGGATTTT